AATAACAAAGGCTTTGATAGGATTTTGGTCAAATTGAACACCAAAAAATATCTCAATAGCAGTACTAGTTAGAAAGAAAAAAAATCCAAATATAAACGTTTAGCAAAGTAAAGATAGATATATAAGGAAGAAAGTTTATAGTACAGCAGTATTTCTAACTACTGCTTGAACTTCAGCTTATACAGTTTATTAACAATTCTGATGATTTTTTAAATATATAACTGTGTTTGAGTGTAAGTGCACTGCAATATATCAAGCTCAATGGTTTCATCGTCAAGTTAAAATATGTATAGGCAAATTGTAGTCACCGTTATCTTTTCAACATGGTGAGAGTTGATATTCTCAAGGCAAAGATATATACATAGAAACAGTATGCCATTGAAGTTATGCACGATTATTGCTCATCACCTGCGTACATATTGTGCAACGATGTAACAAACTTATAAACTTTGCGGTACTGAAATATACTTTCTGAGTTGAAATTGACCAAAAAATTGTTTGAGCTGTTTACGAATCTCATAATTACAATGGTAATAAATGGGTAATCGAGTAGCCGTTGATGAGATGGTGAGAAGTGAGGAAAGATCGGCCAAATAGCTGCAAACGAACCATTAATGGCAAATCAAGCAAAAAAATTGGAAGATACTCACCGATAAACGAGACCTTTTGCCAATTCCCTTAAAAATTCGGCATCAATAAATTCCATAATGGTGAGCAGTAGGTTGAGGGTGTTTGACACTAGATAAACGGTCACCAAGGCAGCCATGGTTCGAGTTGCGTCCCTCTTCTTGCGCTTAGCCTCCGAAGCCTGTCCTCCAAGTGGAAGAAGCGTTGGCAATTGCTTAAAAAAGTCAGTGTTTTGAATCTTTGCAAAAAAAAGAGCGCAAGAGCGCAACTACAAAAAGGAATTCAGATTCTAACGTTCGATGGATCATACCAAACTTCTACACTCTTTTTTAAGTTACTTTGTTTGCAAGCACCTGTTTTAACTTTTGATATCTCTGGCGATTGGTGAGGTTCTCTATATAATTCTAGATATCTATCATTTGATCATCAGAATGGGAGGAGAAAGGCAACGTAGATATGCGATGAAAACAACATAGATAAATTGAGCAAATTGAGCCTCACATCGTTTTCTGGGACCATGGGAAATTTGGCCGACCATCTAGTGTACTTGTATCAAGAAGACTCCATTATTTTTATTTTAATGAAAGGCAATTGCCACTGCCAAAACTTTGAATATACTTGAGAGAAAAGTGCATGAGAGGATAAATGGCATTTCTTCCCAGAATGTAGTGAGCGAAGATGGTGTCGCGAGAAAACGACTGGGATTCTCAATTAGCGAAGATGGAAGAAGTTCCCGCTAGCTAAACATATACCCAAATTTCCTACTACTATGATAAAGCCGAAAGGTAAGGCGTTACCTTCAAGGCAGCGCACTCCGACCTTATAATGTCTCTATTGATGCCAGTTAAGTGGAGATTTGAAAGGAAATCGAATATATTTAACAATGCTTCGTCAAAAATTTGCTAAAGTAACCCAAAAACTTAACCAACCTCTGCAATGAAATTCTTGGAGTTTTTGTCCAAATTCGCCACAGTTGCCGAATTCAGCATCAAAAGTAGCAAAAAGGGAAGGAATACATTGAGAAAATTGCGACACCAGAACATCCA